TCTCTAGACCTCTCTTTTTGCGTGTTGGGGTTTTTTTTCTAAGACATTTGAAGGCCTGGCTTAGGATGCTGCTCTAAAGAACAGGACACCAGCCCTGTTCTGCAGCTGTCTTGGTGTTGCCCTCCCAGGCCTTGTGCTGGACAGCTGAGCTCCTGCACAGGAGCCACACAAAGCTTCCTCAGAGCAGGAAATGCAGGAAGGCAACCCAAGTGCTAACAGGACCTCAGCTGGCCATTCCTGTGCAGGAAACACCTCCAATATACACCTCCCTCAATCTTCATTCCCCAAGGAAGCTGCTTGACCTCTAAAACGAGAAGCAAAAGCTTGTGAGGAGCTGGTTATCCCTGAGACCAGCATTCTGGTGAAGTCCATGGAGTGCTGTCCTGTTCCCCACAGATGTATTTTGGTAAGTCTCTACAAAAGAAAAGAATTAAACTCTCCAAACAACACCTCCCATCTCAGGGTTTTGTTTTTTTTTTTGCTGTGGGTGTGAGAGCTCTGCAGGGTCAGAAGCAAACAAAGACCCGAGCTTTCAGGCCAAAAAAAAGTTCAGTTTTCGTGTTATTATTTATTTTTCTGAAACTGAAACCTCTCGTTTCCAGCAGGGAGTTGGAGAACTGTGACCCAGCAGGTATTTCCTCTGCCCCAAGTGCCAGAACTGCACCCAGCAGCAACCCAGGCCCTTTGGGTGAAATTTCAGCCCGTGTCCAGAACGTTCATTAGTGCAATTAAAGCCATTAAGTGGTTGTTGGGCCGTGTCCTGACTCAGGGCTTTGCTGCACACACCCTCACTCCTCCACTGCACGGATCTGACTTTTAGTGGTTGAAATCTGGTGTTGATCCTGTGCCTCATGAAAACATGATACTCCCTGGGGGTTCAGAGGAAAGGCAACCAGCCCTTATCAATTGGGAAAAGATGGTGCAGTTCATATTCCAGTCGATGGAGAAGCCAGATTGAGAATGTAATTATCCTAATTAGTTTTGTAATCTCGAATTCATCTCTTTTTTTTTTTAAAATATAAACAGCAGTTTCCAAGCAGGCCATCGGCTTTTTGCACAGAGCAGTGGTTTTATCTTGTTGAGGGGCATGCTGGCAACACTCACTCTTGTTTTGCAGACAAGGACTCAGGATCCTGTTGGCCTGTGGAAATCTTTCCCTTTGCTAACTCCCTCCCACCACTTCAGGCTGGCTCAGTGAGGAGTTCACGAACCTTCTCCGGATCATCAGGGCTTGATGCAATCAACTGTGAAGCATTAGCTCTAAATATACAACTGGGAGGCCAGTTCTGCTTCAACACACAAACACCCATGGCAGAGGATGAGAAAGCAGCCAGCCCAATTTGCAAGAGAAACTTAAATAATAATCCGAGCAAGCTGCAAGGAAAGCAGGAGCAAGTGGGGGCTAATCATTGCTTTGCCCTTTGGAGATGACTAAAGTCAGGGGCAAACTGGCACAGCCCTCACGTAGAGCAGCTTTTGCCCTTGTTTGTGGAGCTAAATGTAGCGGCTCATTCCACTTTGTTTACTTGTTTAGGTGATTTTTTGGCAGCTCAACCCGTGTCCCTGGTGCAAATCCTCAGTGTGAGGACAGATAACTGAAAAACAGCTGCAGCGGGGCCAAGAGACCCAGAATTCAACTTGTACAGTGAAAACAAACAGTAAAAGAACCCAAGTTCACGGGCAGAGTAACATCTCAGTCCACAGCTCTTTCTCCTCATTAAAGAAAACACATTTTACTCTCTGAACTTGCTTCAACCAAGTAATTGTCAGAAGTATTCAGGGCAAGAGGGAATGTGCTGGTGTCACGTTCTTTTGTCAACAGCTGTAAAGGAGATGTGCATCCAACTACTCTTTGGTGGCCATGCCAGATACTGCTTACCCAAATAGGAACACCAAGCCCTTCCCAGGAATTTTTTTGAAGATGTTATTAAGCATCTGATTTTGGCAGGGCTCTCAAAGCTATTTGTCCCGATTTTTTTTACTACCTGTTGAAAAGAAAGCAATACTGCGAATACTTCCCATCAGAAAATACCAACAAGCAACTTATCATCACTGCAAGGGAGCTAACAACATTTCCAGTGAGTGATTCTTGGCACTGACAGCTGACTCGGAACAGTTGTTGGTGGCTGGGACAGATGGACTTCATATATTAAAAAAAATTAAAAAAAAAATAAGAAGGAAATGAGAACTTCTACTCCATAGATTTTAAAAAGCCTTTTGCAAAATCCAACATATTACTGAACCCTCAGAATTAAATCGAAAGGAGATTTGAACATAATGAGCTTTAAAACTGAAATGTGCCCGGGACTCGCCAGATCGCCCCATCGAGGGCTATAAAGTATCAGCATGTTTTGTTTTCAGTAGGAAATACTTGGGGGTTTTGGGAAGGTCTGCACAGCCCGTGAAAATCCTCAAAATCCCAATATTTGTTTCCACAGGGAAGGTGGCAAGAGGAGACCTCAAGGTAGGAGGCAGCACTGATATCAGCTGTGAGCCCCACTTTCCATCGCTGCCTCCCAGAGCTTCCTCTGGTTTAATTATGACCATGGCATTTCCCTGATGTGCAGAATCTTTAGATGCTTTTAGTGCCTAGAGCTGGGAATGGACTGAATGCTCCACGCTTCACTGGTTCCCGTTTTATGGCAATGTTTTAAGGCCACTATCAAGGAGAGGGTTTGTTCTGGCAATAACACACAGGAGGAGGCAACCCCAGCTCCCAACACTTGGAGTCAAAGCAGCAGCTCAGAGTCTAGAGCAGGTCAGAGTTTGACAGCTTGGGATCTCAGCATCTTGTGAGCTTTGTCTGCTTCTGTTTCTGCCTTTTTTTTTTCCCCCACCAAGTAGCCAGTTGGCACAAACACATCCTTCCAGTCACACTCCCATCCCACTATCCAGCACCAGCCCTGCAGTCTCCAGTGCATATTTAATTTTACACATTGCTGACAGTGTAACCCTGACTTAATGGGGTGCCCTCAGCACCTCAAGTCAAGTGTAGTGGAACACACTTTTTTATTCTCAGCCTCACTTTTGCCCACTCTTTGGGACTTTTGAGCCCAAATCTAAAAATTACTGGAAATCAGTAAAGGATGAGGCACTTTGATTTGGCCATAACCCTTTGAATTTGATGGAAAGCAAATCCTGTCACCACTTGGTTTACTCACTAGATAAATGTTTTCAGGCAGAGGTGTGAAAACTAGTGGTGTTTGGCTGTTTTGTAGCAACTATTGTCTCTCTAAAGAAATGTAGAAATATCTGTAGTTTGTTTCCAGGATTCAAGGAAAGTTTCTAGGCTGGATTCAACAGGACACTTGAGCGTAACAGAGGAAGGAAACGGGGCACCTTTCTACCCTGCAGCTGTGAGGAAAAGCTGTGCAAGTCTGTCGTTTTTCCCATTCAAAGGGAGAAGCTGAATCCAGAGTCAGCACCTGGAGAGAACTGTGTGATGCTCCGGGATCAGGCACTCCCGACTTTTCCTGCTGAAACTGCTTCTGCTACAAACCACAGCAAAGCAAATGAACACCAGACCCTGGGGCGCGTGACAACCATCTCCTCACTGCAGATGAGTGTCACAGTCATCTCCTCACCCCTCCACCGACTGTTTTGGGGAATAGTGCCCAAACCTCACTTTATCTGTGGCCCAGAGAGGCTCTGTTTGGCGTCACTGGAGAATTGTTTTTTGTCCTTAGACAAACTGTTTGAAATATTTCAATACACTTCAGCCTTGAGTTGACCCAAAACAGCTACTGGTGAGTCCGTACACGGGTTATGGGTGTTTTGGTACTCAGGGGCTGGTTGTCAGCCCAACCCCACTCCATCCCATCTTCTCCTCCTGCCATCTGGGCGGACAGGGGGGAGGGACACGCGAGCCCACCGGCTGCTGTCCCCCTCCTCATCCCCCCAGCTATTAATAGCCAGACAACAAATGAGCCCAAATTCATTCCTGAACGGAATTAGCAAATGTTTTTGCAATTAAAACTGCAAACATTCATGCGGGGCCCCCCGAACAATAGGCGCCTGTGCCTGGTCTTGAATAGGCACTAGTGTCCGCCCTGCCTGCCTGCCGAGCCTGCACATTCCTGGCACCCTCAGCCCTGGACCCGCTCCTTGCTGAGCTGGGTTTTGGGATGTTTCCCCCTGTGTCGCGTGTGTGTGTGTCCCACAGTCCCTGAAGCACCACGCTCCCCGCGGGTCCTTGGTGCCGGCCAGCCCCGTCCCGTCCCACATCCCGGCGGCTCCCGCATCCCTCCGGGGTGGGGGCAGCGCATCCCTGCGCTCCCCGGGGCGAGGGTCGGGGCAGCGCATCCTTCCCCGCACTTAGCCCCGTACGGAGCTGGGGCAGCGCATCCCTCCCCTTCCCCAGGATGCGACCAGGGCAGCGCATCTCCCCCTTTCCCCGGGATAGCGACCGGGGCAGCGCATCCCTTCCCCGGGACCGCGACCAGGGTCACATCCCTCCTCCCTCCCTTCCCTGGGATCGCGACCGGGGTCACATCCCTCCTCCCTCCCTTCCCTGGGATCGCGACCGGGGCAGCGCATTTCCCCCTTTCTCCGGGATCGCAACCAGGGCAGCGCGTCCCTTCTCCCTCTCTTTTCTCCGGGATCGGGACGGTGGCAACACATCTCTCCTCCCTCTGTTACTCTGGGATCGGGGACTGGGGCAGCGCATCCCTCCTCCCTTTCCCCGGGATGGGGACGGGGGCAGCGCATCCCTCCTCTCTTTCTCTGGGATCGGGACAGTGGTAACGCATCTCTCCTCCCTCCGTTTCCCGGGATCGGGACAGTGGTAACGCATCTCTCCTCCCTCCGTTTCCCGGGGTCGGGACAGTGGTAACGCATCTCTCCTCCCTCTGTTTCCCGGGATCGGGACGGGGGCAGCGCATCCCTCCTCCCTTTCCCCGGGCCGGGGCCGGGGCCGGCGCATCCCCCCGGGGCCGGGGCGCGGGCGCGGCGGGCGGCGGGTGCCGGGGCGATGCCGGGGGGCTGTGGCGGGCGGTACTCACCGAGCAGGGGCAGGAGCAGGAGCCGGAGCAGCTCCGGCCGCCGCAGCGCCATGATGGGGTGTGCGGAGCCGAGCCGAGCCTGCGCAGTGCCCGGGGCCCGCGGGCGGGGGGAGCGGGGCCGGCCCGGGCACCGCGGGGGGACCGGCCCGGGGGCGGGACCGGCCCGGGGGGCACCCACCGCACCCACCGCACCCACCGCACCCCCGGAGGGGCGGAGAGGCCTGGGGACAGGGGGTGGTACCCGCAGCGAGCGGGTGGGGAGAGGGGACGATCCCGGGAGAGGGATCCCGGGAGAGGGAATGATGCCGGCACGGGGATCCCGGGAGAGGAACCCCCGGGAAAGGGGGCGATCCCGGCAGTGGGACGCCGGGAGAGGGGATGATCCCGGCAGAGGAACCCTGAGAGAGGGGATGATCCCGGGAGAGGGACCCCGGGACAGGGGATGATGCCGGCACGGGGATCCCGGAGGAGGGGATGATCCCGGCAGAGGAATCCCGGGAGAGGGGACGATCCTGACAGAGGGACCCCAGGAGAGGGGATGATCCTGGCAGTGGGACCTCCGGGAGAGGGGATGATGCCGGCAGTGGGACCCCCGAGAGAGGGGATGATCCCGGCAGAGAGACCCCGGGAGAGGGGATGATCCTGTCAGTGGGACCCCAGCGGGTGGAGAGAGGGGATGATCCCGTCAGTAGGACCTCCGGGAGAGGGGATGATGCCGGCAGTGGGACCCCCGGGGAATGAGGAGAAGGGATGATTCCTGCAGTGCGATGATCCCGGCGGGTGAGAAGAGGGGATGATCCCGATCGGGCCACTCCCGGAGGGTTGGGAGTAGTCCCGGCAATGGGACCCCTGTGGGACCCCCGGGAGTGGGGGAAAGGGGATAATCCTGGCAGTGAGACCCTCGGCGGGTGGGGAGAGGGGATGTTCCCGGCAGTGGGACTCCGGGAGAGGGGATGATCCCCGCAGTGGGACCCCCGGCGGGTGGGGAGAGGGGCCGGTCCTGACCGCTGGTTGAGCGCCGTGGAGGGAAGGAATCTCGCTCCGAGTAAGGCGCTGGGAGAACTTCAAGTGTTTTTGAGCTTGAAGGCAACATTTTGGTTTTAAAACCCATCCAAGTTTTGCTCTAAAGTAGGTGTTTCCCTCCTGTATTTAACAAGAGCCGCTAAAGAGCGATTTTTCTGATAGTTTTCCCTAAAAAACCAACTCACCTTGAACGGCGAATTTCACTATAAACTTTCAACAACTTAAAGTAAACAAGAAACACAAACAAGCAGCTGGGGAGAGAGTGCTGCTCTCGAGGAGCTTCCTGAGTCATAGAATCCCAGGACGGTTTGGATTGGAAGGGACCTTAAATATCATCTCGTTCCAACTCCCTGCCACGAGCAGGGACATCTTTCCCAGTTCCAACCCCCTGTAATGGGCACGAACACCTTCCCCCAGTCCTCGTGCTGGACCAAATTCTTTCTGACACAGCCAAGCGATTCTGCCCTGAAAAACAGCTTTGCACAGAGAAAGCATCCACAGAGAGCTGCTCTGTGGTCCTCAAAAGTGCCCCAGAACCTTTTCCTTTTTGATTAACAGAAAGGAACTAAAAATACCAGCATGGGACAGTCTCCTCAAATTCAGCGAGTCTGCCTGAGTTAATGCTGGCTCATGCGTCACCGACTGTCAGTAGTGTCTGATGAGGATGTAATTAAGAAGCTGTTGAAGATCAAGCAGCTGGAATGAAAGCCGAGCTCTCCTCTGGTCTGTAAACCAGCTCGGCAGAGCTGGCAGAAATTAAGGGATGTAAAAATGTATTTAACTCGATAACGTAGCAGATCTAAGTCAAGATGCTAATGAGTAGATTTAAAGGGCTGATCTGAGCCCGGTGAGATTAATACAGGGACTCTCATCAATTCTAATGGCCAGATGGGGCATTTCCCTGGGGATGAAGGGGAAGGAATCTCCTAATAGGACTGTGTGGCTTAAAGCCTGACTCTAGGGCTGACTGGGCTGGGTCCCTGTTGAGTAAGGAATCATTTTAACACAGTCCGTTTGGACTGCCCTGACAGGAGATGTAAAATGTGATGACAGAGAATATAATCAGCTATAAAGTGCAATCACTGAGGTGTCAGGATCCACTTTAACTTCCAACAGCAGCTTGATCAGGGAAGAGCAGAGATGAGACAGAAGAGATGAGGAAGGATGGGAGGTCTCTAGCTGGGCTGTCCTCCCCGTGCTGCAGAAGGAAAGCAAATTATTTCAGTTTGGATTGGTGCTTGGATTAACCTGGTGTAGTGGAAGGTGTCCCTGCCCATGGCAGGGGGTTTGGAATTGGCTGATCTTTGAGATCCCTTCCAACCCAAACCATTCTGTGATGCTCTGACTGGGGATGAGCCCGTGCTGGGAGAGGCACAGGAGGACTGTGCTGTGGTGTGCTGGCTTCCCCAGGCCATCTGGGCCACTCGAGGGGGAGCTGCATCTACGCTGAGGAGCTTTTCTAAGCCTTGATTTCCCTCTTCAGGCTGCTGGAGCTTGGCCTAGGCATGTGTTGAGGGTATGTTTGTGAATAATCAATGCAGACAGAGGCCAGGTTTGGAGTCAACTGGCAAAGCAGGTATAACCTTCATGGATAACACCAGGGCATGAAACACTGAACATCATCCTGGATATCCATCCTACACCAGACAGACGTGCCAATTGCTTGTCTCAGGCAGATACAATTTGTGCCAGCTCCTCTTTTTGTGCTGCCTCTGTGGTTTTATTGCAGCCAGGTTCTGCCTTTTAATCTGCCATCGCCGCCGAGGAGCCATTTGAAACGTGGAACTCAACAAGCTCAAGGAGTCACAATAAATATTATACAAGAATTGTAGTGCCCATCAAACCGGGATGGCAAAGGGCTGCACTGTGAAACATTGATTTTCACACACAAATGGAGCTCCCATTTCACTATTTAATGGTCAAACAAGTCACTAAAATAAATGATGCTTCAAGAGCAGCCCTGTGTAGGGCAGGGGTGTATTCGGGCACGAAGAGGGGCAGCATAAACCTGCCTCTTCCCATGATTTCTTTGTTCTCTGAAGAGATTCCAGTCCATGCTGAAAACAAGAAGAATCTGCAGGATGATAGGGAGGGAGCACAGGTCCTGCCAGGGAGTCTTCCCAAGCTCTAGGAAGGCCTGTGGTGGGGAATGATGGAGAACAAAGTGCTGTGTGACCTGACCCAAGCACAGAGAGTGGAGAGGTGCAGGATAAGGCAGTGGGACCTTGCTCCTGGCACTTGTAAGAAAAAAGGAAAGGTGACCAAGGACTAACTTGGGAAAAAAACACCTTAGGGATTTCTAAAGGTTCTGTGGAGCGTGTTGCACACAAAGTATTTGGGATCTGAAAGCAGCTGAAGGCGATTCAGAGAAAATGGATCCTTGTGATGCTTGTAGTGCCTGGAGGCCCAAACTGAGGTTCAAGCCCTGCTGGGAAGAAGCTGCTCAAACCTGTAATAACAGGCTGTGCCTGTCACGATGAGTTTTCAATAGCAATCCACATGGCAGACAGGAATGTGATTATCTGAGGCATCGGGGCTCCGAGGGCTCTGCCAGAGAGCTGTGCCATACCTTGTGTGTGGAGGAGCAGCCTGTCTGAGTCCTCAGGGCTGTCCATCTGGACCTTCCCCAGCCATCAGGTTCGCTCCAGACCTCCTTAACTTTGATGCTGTGATTGTGGCAGGCCGGTCTGCTGGCCTGGGAAGAAGGAGGTCCTGGCAGAAAGCTCCACCAGAGCGAGGGTTTGGCTGCTCTCAGAGGTGGGAGATGGTTGTGCTGCCCTGGTGGGAGGGCAACAGCACTGAAGGGAGCCTGCTCTTAAAGAAAAAACTTCTTTACACAAAAGACAGGGGTTCTGAAGTGTCACTGGAGCCACCTTTGTGTGTGACAGAGGGAAGGTCATGGGTGATGCAGGTAATTGGTGACAGCCATCAGAGAGGGAAAGTCTCCTCAGAGCTGCACTGGGGTGAGCAGGAGCTGTATCCCACCCCTGGCTGAAAGAGGCTGGTTCCCCTTTGTGGGAACAGGACCTCTCCTGTTTGGAAGCAAAGTCTTGCCTGTCTTGGAGAGTTTTTAGAGTAACTTTAGGCTCTGCAGGTATGTACTGACACATATCACTCCCGATCTCAGGATCTCAAGGCCCTTTGCAGATATGCCACTTACCCAGCTCATTCTCAGCAGCTCTGCAAAGAGATGCAGGTATCTGGCCTGTGTCCATCCCTCTTTCACACCACTTCTGCTGCTCGGGCAGCTTTTTATGGATGGCCTGGTGCCACGGTGCCTCTCACTCCTAGCTGAAGACAGCATCTCTTTTTTTGTCTGCTGGAGTCTAGACAAGCTGTTGATTCCGTGGTGTCACAGACCATGACCCCACTCCTACACCAGCCCCATCATTTCCCCCTGGTTCATTGCTCAGGCATATGCTCATCTATTTTGAATCATTTGTATGTGTGAGGCTGAGTTGCTCCTAATCTCGTCTCCCTCCCGGGGCGTCAGTCACACTGGCATGTGCCTTTTCCCTGTCTGCCTCCCTCTGTTTATGGACTTATGGATATTTTTAACTCTACCCTCTAATTAGAGGTAGTTTTCTCTGGGTATTTTGTGCACAAGGGCTCTCCCATCCGTGGTCAGCAGGGCAGGCAGTAAGCACTGGGGACTGGCCGTGCATGGAAACCTTCCTGCTAAATAAATACAGCAGCAGGGACCAGGATGGGGGGGAGGCTTTGCATTCCTCGGGGGTCTGCCTGCAGCAGTGTGGTGGGGTAGCAGCTATAAAGAGGAGCCAGCTAACCCCCCTGAGACAGGGCCACAGCTGCCTCCTCATCCTGCAGCCCTCTGCCAAGCCTGCTAGCAGCTCCCTGCAGCTGTCTCCAAGCTGCACAGTGACCTGGAGGAGCCACATCCCTGGGGATATCCCTGAGCCGTGCTCACTTACCCTGTGCTGGTCCAGGGATGGGGAAGAGAGCGATACTAATTAGGAAAGGCCTTGACCCAGGAGCCTCCAGCCAGGAATCTGGTCCCCTTGGCTTCCCAGCACCAACGCTGCCCGAGCACGCTGCC